AACAACTCGACTTGATATTATATAATATACTAGGCTATCAGATCAACGCCGTAGGGACTGCTCGCACTTCTTTTAACAACTCGACTTGATATTATATAATATACTAGGCTATCAGATCAACGCCGTAGGGACTGCTCGCACTTCTTTTAACAACTCGACATGATATTATATAATATACTAGGCTATCAGATTAACGCCGTAGGGACTGCTCGCACTTCTTTTAACAACTCTACTTGATATTATATAATATACTAGGCTATCAGGGAGCTTCTATTTCAACTTTTAATTGTTGCTCAATCTTTCAGCATTTTCTCTTTGATAAAACATTTAGCGGATTTACAATTTTGTTTCGTGGATTTTTTAATTTTACGAAAATCAAAAAAACTTGGAGACAACTTTTTGTAATTCTGAGTATCCATAAACCTTTCCACATGGAAAGTCCCACTCAAAACCCACACTGTGAACTAGGCAAAAAAAAAAAGAAGGTCAAACTTATGCCAAAATTACTGGTTTGATTTTGTGACCTTTTAGCTCCTCTAGTTTTGATTTTATGCACAAGTATGAAGAAAGCAAATTGTTCTGGTACACATATTAGAAATTCATAACATTTGTTCTTCTTAATAACCTTTCTTTAAAAGGAGCTATGATTGAAAACCTAAAAGATTTCAATCAATTTACTTTAGTTTGTAGAGCTGCAATAAAATCATGTACTTGGGGGAGACCCTGAGAATAATACAAGATAGAGAATCTACCGGAAATATAGTTGGTAAACAACTTCCGGAGCATCCTAGCATGTATAGGACATTTAGATTTTGAGGCGAGTGCCTTTTTTTTCACGCACAAGAGCTTTGATTAATTATAAATCGTGTTTTGTACAGTCGTCGGTGATTATATCAATACTTTTTATGATTACTGCTTCGATCCCTAAAAAGCATGTTTCAAATTACAATTTTACAAGTAAACAAGCTGTTAATTGACAACTTATCTTTGTTTAAATGTTCATGTGTCTTGCTGTTTGAAAGATTGGTAGAAATCAAAATTTAAATAAAAAGTTGTTTTCATGACATATACGACGACTACTGTAGTTAGTATATTTAATCCAAGTAACTCTATATAACAAAGCTATTCACTCATTTATATGTTCGCTATAGCAGGACAAGCTGAATTTATTATATTAAACACGACCACGGGTACCCAGGGGGTGACAAATTAGTATTTTTTTAATTCCACAAGCCACGCTGGGCACTTGAGCTTTGAGACCAAGCGCGGGTAAACGGCGGAATTAACTATAACCTGACTATTATAGATAGTTTATAAATAAACTAAATAATTCCTTTTCAGTAGCTTTTCAGAACAATTAGTGTATTTCAAAACTTTAAACTAAAATGAACTAAACTTTAGTTTCATGTGTCTAGGAGGACTAAACAACCTTCCCCTTCCCAATCAAATGCTCAGATCAGACATACAAAAAAGAGATAAACAGTGTTTAAACTTCTTTATATGGTTTGTGTTCTACAGTGATAACAATAAAACTCTGAAATAGACGATAGACGATCCTATAACAATTTTGAAGTGTATTTGATGTTGTCACAAAGCAAATATTTTTTTTACTGGCATCTTTCTTGTCAAATCAAATCATTAATTAGGTGAAATGGGCCTGTTTACGCCTGTACAATTACTGTTTCCCATGCTCATTGGATTTTTGAAAGGTATAACTTGAATCTAAAAGTCGTCTTTCTATTGCAGAGTTTTCTGGTTATAACTTTATGTATTCTCTGTAGCTAGATATGTACTTTTCCTTGAAAATTCCCCTGAAAACCCAAATTTGATAAATTCTTTTCAAAGAAAATTTCCATAACATTTTTAAAACCTGAATTGAATTAATTTCCAATTTAGCCGACATTGAATTATCTAAATTTCGTTTTAACCCCTTTTCTATCCTCGTAGATTAAATAAACTTTAATTTAATTTAATATACTCCTGTCCTTGGTAGGAATTTAATATAAAATCATAATGTTGGTGACAATCTCAACAGTGAAATTTTTCCGGGTGTTCATCAGATCAACGCCGTAGGGACTGCTCGCACTTCTTTTAACAACTCTAAATTAGTTAAGAAATAAAATAAAAAAGTTTTAGATCATTGAAACCCCTATATAGTAGTTGAACTGCAGCCAATAGATTAACTTTAACCACAGAGGTTCAAGGTCGTCTTTGAACTTTTAAATAATTTACCGCATTTACTTTTTTATCGACTTTTAATTGTGATTCTTAAAACAATAATTATATTTCCAAAAGCTCTGCCTTTTATGTCAATTTGTCGAACCTAAACAAAATTCTTACTTTTGAAATAAAAAAAGGCAGACAGGACTATATAGAGGAATTTTGTGATTACTAATTTAAGAATTTTACTTCTAAGATCAGGGTTACGAATCAATGCTGTCAAGATAACATTTTTTGAATTTGTCAGGCAAAGGATGGGCAAAGCTATAAACAAGTGTGAATTCGTACAATCGTCACATGTAAATTCACATCCTTTGTGGGAAACCCTGAAAGTTGATGAAGTAAAAAGAAAAAAAGGGCCCTGGCCACGGGCAACTGTAGTACATTTGAATTTCCGAGCCGGGTCAATATTTCCAGTCCCAGTTTGTACTGTATCGCCCAGACATTAGGTAAATAAAGCAGACACTCAATAAGACTAGCCGGTGCAGCAAGGTTGACGCGGTCAGAATTTAGATTTAATTTACTTTTAATGAAGGGTCAGAGGTGCGTGTGGCTGGGTGTCTGTTTTAACAGGGGTAGGCTTAATCTTGGACGGTTATTATTGTAAAATTGTACAACTAATACAACGTTTCTTTGGATATATTTCCTCCAGACTTAAATTAAACTGTATTCAAAGGAACTGAGTTTTTGTCACAAACTTAAATTTTCTAATTTCTATATCTCTACATCCGGATGGTTTAAATCTTTGATATTTCAAACTTAGATTATTTGATATAACAGAATACATAG